CCCGCCGCGCGCCCCCAGCCGCGCTTCGGCGCCCGGCGCGGCAGCAGCGATAGCGGCGGGCCGCGCGGGACGGCGCTGGATTGTCGACATTTGTGTCATGCGGCCGACAAGGGCAGCTCCTTAGGGCTGGCGCGGCTGTATTCCGATCTCTATCCGAGCCGAGACGCGCCTGCCCCGTCATCGACGACCCCTCGCCGCGCCCCGTCCCGCCGCGCCAGGTCAAGCGGCACGTGAAATCGCAAGAATCCAAGGGATTCGTGGTTTCTATGGAGGTGCGCCGGCCGCGCCCGCCCGGCCCGGCGGCAGCGCGCCCCCCGGCCGCGCCGCACCTACCGCCCCTGCCGCAGCCGCCCGCCCTCGGAGCCCGCGCGTCGCGGCGGGCCTCTCGCTCCACCCAGTGTGTCTCCTCGCCCCTCCTGCAGATGCGCGTCGACAGGCAGCTCCCCCCTCCACAACCCCCCCATCAGCCGCCTGTGCGCCTGCCCGCTTGCCAGACATCCCGCCGGCCCGGCCACTCATGTTCAAGCACTGACCTGCCTATCCGCACCGACCCCCGAAACCCCAGGCCCCCGTCCACTACAGCAATGTGATGGTGCTCGACCCGATAACATCAAAGCCCGTCCGCACCCGCTGGGTCTACGACGCGGAAGCCGGCCAGAAGCTGCGGCTCACGCGCGGGAAGCTGTCCAGCAGGAGCGTGATCTACCCGCCTGAACTGCACAAGACGCACCCTGGGCCTGACACGCGAGGTGCGCACGCGCGGCAGGGCGGGGCGGGGCGGGCATGGTTCGAACTGGGTGGCCTGTGCTGTGGCGGCGCCCTTCCTTGCTTTTCGCGCGGCGGCCCCGGCTGTGGCGGCGGCGGCGGCGGTGGCGCCCCTACGCGCGCTTCAGCCGTGCGCCGCCGCTCGCCGCGCAGCTGCGGCGCCGGACTCCGGCCCGGCGGCGGCGCCGCGCTGCGCGATGCAGGCGACCTTCGTTGTCGTCAGCTCCGCAGTAATCCTCTGATGTCTGTCATGAATAAAAGACCTCAGCCGACCCATCATTGGCACCTCTGTGCAAAACCGTTTAAATCCGACAGCAACCACGGCCAAAACTCGAGCACGCTCGCAACCCGCCGCCGCTCTCGCTCCCAGTCGGGTTGAAGGACACATCGTATGAGAAGGCTGTGGAAGTCACATACGAAGGCGCGTCCGACTTCCATGCAGCTGTCGGGAAGCTGCCCGTGCGGACGTTCAGCAGCGTCGCCCGCGCGGCGTCTGCGGCGGCGGCGGCGGCGGGGGCAGCGGCGGGCGGCGGCGCTTGGGGCGGCGCAGGGATCGGGTTTGCCGCGGCGGGGGCGCTCCTGGTGCGCCGGGGGCCGGTGGCAGCGGTGGCGGCGTGCTTCGGGACCGGCGGCGGGCGGCTGCCGGCGCGGCCGTGGTGGGTGGCAAACAGGGGCGTGGCGGCGTGGGTCGCGATGCGCGGCGGCGGCGGGGCCGCCACGCTGCCGCGGCCGTGCTGCTGCGGCGGGGCGGACGTTGGCGGTGGCGGCGGCGCGGCGGCGGGCGGCGCCGAGGGTGGGACCTGCAGCGGCTGCGTGGGCCGACCGCGGAGCCCAGCGGCGCTGCACAGCGGCAGCCTGCGTCGGCCGCCAGCGGGCTTGCTCCCAATCGGCGGCTTGCGGTGAGCGCGAATCAGCTTGATTTCGACTTTCTGGTCAATTGATGCCGGGCTCGTTGTAAAACTTGCGTTGGCGCCCGGTGGCAAGTGCTGCTTTGCCTTGCAGCTGGGGGGGCCGCCCACTGTCTGATATGCAGAATGCGATGTGCGGCCGCGCAGCCAGTAAGGGTATGTCGGGCGGCGCCGCGTGTGGGAAGGGACGGCGGCGGTGTCTGGCTCGTGTGCGGGTGGAGCACGGGCGAGGGGTTGCGGGGTTCGGTCTCAAGATCGATGGCGGCAGGATGAGCCTTGGGCGTGCGCGGTGTGCAGGCGCGCTCATGCATCAGCAGAAGGCGACGGTTGAGGGTGCGCCATTGCACTGTTTCGGTGGGGGAAGCACGTCGCTCTTGCGGGCGGCGCTGCTGCTGCTGCTGCTGCTGCTGCTGCTGCTGCTGCTGCTGCTGCCGCTGCTGCGATGCGCACGCGCAAACCACGGTGGGGCCCGGGGCTTTGAACCCCGGACCTAGGGGGGTCGGAAAGAGAGGCTGACAAATCCCGAGGCGGTGCGTCCCCAAGGGCCCCGACCGTTTGGGAGCGGTATCTGGCCGCCACAGAGTGGCGGGACGGGGCCCGAGGGGAGCGAGCGTTCTCCTGGTCACGCGGGACAACAACCGTGGCTTGGAGGCTTCCGAAACGTATACGGGGCCGCCACGGTTGCGCCGCGTATGCCGGTGGCGCGTCTTCCCTCCGCTCGCGGTGGTTCAGGCGGGAGCCGCCATCATCACAGACTTGCACGAGCTTCATAGGGGGACGCTAACCCCGCCCTCGCGCCGTGCTTGCATATCAGCGCGCGCGATCGCGCAGCGCCGAGCAGCGTTCTCTCACGGGATCCCAGACCAGCTGTGCAGGTCTGGTTGAAGGACGAAGTGACGAGTGTAAATAATGGAATAATTGCTGACTATTTGAAGGCATTCGGGCGAGCAACGGGCAGTCCATCGGAAATGGAAGGTCACCCGCTGTTTCGAAGGTCGCTCGCTGTTACGAAGGTCGGGAGGAAGGCCGGTCGAATAGCGCACGTGAGGCTTGCATGCGTGTCGCGGGCTTCACGATGGGGTCGCAGATGCCCTTATATATACCTGGGGGGGGTCGGCCCAGCCAGGTTTGACCGCAGCTTTTGACCAAGCGCAGCGGCAGCGCAGCAGCAGCGCCGCACACAGCGTAAGCACTGCGTGCGCCTCTTGACCCAGCTGAGGCCTGCCTGTAGTCAAAAGGATGTATTTAGATCTGGTTTGGCTCCATTCAATCGACAGCGGGGTCGCACAGCACAGCGCGCGCGGAGCGGGCACACGCGCACACGCGCACGCACTCACGAGCGTGCGCGTGCACACACACATACAAACACGCGCGCGCGCACGCGGGCGTGCATGCGCCGTTGCAGGAAAGCCCGAGTCGTCATGCACCCCAGAACTCCGTACCGCCTCAGGCAACGCTGGCGCAAGCAAACGGCTTGCTGATCTGTTACAGCGCACGCAGTGTTGCCCTCGCCCCATCAAACATCAAGTGCTTTATTTCCTCTGCCCGCATCATGCGCACCGAAATGCACAGCCTTGGACTGCTGCCAGCGCGTGCATTTTTGAAAAGACAGCAATGGATCCCTGCACCAGTGTGCGGGGCAGGCCAGGGCGCGTCTCTGCAATTCAATGTGTTGGGGGGTGTTGGCTGGGGGTGTCAGCCCCGTCCATAAGCCAGGGGTTTCTTTCCAAAGGGGTGTTGCCCTTGGTGCCAGGAAAGCGTGATATAATGTGGGTGTTTTGGCGGTCAAGTCGCGTGCTTGGGGATGCTTGAGACCGGCCACCGCGTGTCCCGAGGCCGGCCGCTGCTGCATAAATGGCCGGGCGCCGGGGCAACGCTGCCCCCCTCCCACCTTGCCCGAAACGCGGCCGAGAGTTGGGACGACAGCGGTCCCAAATCCAATGCTTGCACAGCGTTTGTTGTGGACGAATAAGCGCAGCACCCGTTTGACCCCCCAAAACACACCAGTTGCCATGCGCACGCCAGCCGCATCCGCATCGGCTGAGCGCAAGGCATTGGCAGCAATTCAACAACAAATGAGCGACAGCCGAGCCAACCGGGGCCGCTTTCCCCCGGCTGCAATCTCCTCGTGTCGTAGAGTACACTTGGGCTCACACAAATCAGAAGGCTGATGGATCCAGACAGGCCGTGCGCCACACGCAGCTGCGCAGGCCCTGCCTGCGCACACAGCCTCATTCCCGCTGCCTCCGCCGGCGGGAGCGCGCTCATGCGCTCCGCGGCCGACGGCGCCGTGATTGAGCCCTCAGGCTGCTGGTGCTGCTGCGGGCTGCTGCCGGGGCTGCTGCTGCTGCTGCTCCTGCTGCTCCTGCTGCTGCTGCTGCTGCTGCTGCTGCTGCTGCTGCTGCGAGACCCGCCGCCGCTCGCCGACAAGCCTGTTCCCGCCCGCGCCCCCGCCGGGCCGCCGCACCGCGGCCGTGAGCACCGTCGGCGGG